GTTGGAGCTTTTCTTCTCCTTAAATCAAGACAGTAATTAATGAGAATCTGCTGTAATTAATGAGAATCTGCTGTAATTAATGAGAATCTGCTGTAATTAATGAGAATCTGCTGTAATTAATGAGAATCTGCTGCGTTGTTTTAACGAGTCTTCCCATCAGAGCATTTATGGCAGGAAATGGTGCATTTCTGCATTCCTGCTTTGACCCATAAAAACAACATTCATTGTTGTGTAAAACCTGCTCCGGCCTCTTTGGAGCCTCTAATGAAGCCAGTTTTCTTCAGGCTACACGCCACAGAGGGGGCGGAGCTTAAATCACTGCTGAGTTACGAGAAGCGTAAAGAAGTGTACCCCAGCTGTCACCGCTCTAACCTGTCTGTTTCCTGCTCACAGGTTCCCACCACCTCTTCCCCGCCTTCCACACCCCCATACCCATCGACATGAGGCACCACGAGGGGCGGTACCATTACGAGCCACACCCACTCCACGCCATGCACGGGTACGTCTCCGTTAACGCTTCGACTCTTTTCAGCTCGTACGGGATTGTTCCTGGATGCAACAGGAGCCTCAGCTTATCTGAGGTTGGAGAAGTGAAGCGGTGAGGAAGATCAGGAGGGGTTTGAGACGTCTGTCGTTACATTTACATTCAGCCCGATCAGCTGATACACGGAGCAGCCACAGCCATTCATCACCAGCAGCGCAGGGGCGAGGAGGTGCTGTGATTAATGTGAAGTGACTCTGACAGAGTGCTCCTGATGATTCATCACGGCCTCGCTGCCGCTGTCCCCCCCACTCCAGAGCCAGCGTCGGGGTTACAAACCGGCAGGATCACAGCAACTCTGGAGAAAAGTCTTCATTACTCTGTTCAGGCTTTGAGCTGCAGGTCGCTGCAGCAGCTGTCACCAAGGAGAGCCAGAGTAAAACCAACCTGCAGTTTCTGTAATGAACCTGTGACACAAAACATCTTTATTTAACAAACCTGTAGTTTCTTACCTGTGACACTCTTCAAACACTGAGTCAAAGAAAACTTCTTTTTATTTAACAAACTTGGCATAAAACACATGATTTGACCCATTTTGCATCATAGCTGGTATATTTATTTGAATGAGCGCCACCTTGAGGGCCTCAAAAGAACAACAGTTTTTAACTTTGGGCCGCAGAGGGCCGTGGGACCGCATTGATTTTTAATAAGATGCAATACACTTTCTCACCACTAGTAGCAGTAGTGCACCACTCAGATGTTCAACAACTTTTTTAATATGTAGAAGAAGAACCTTAGAAACCTGCCGAGAATGGAAACTTATTTTAAATGAAAAGTAGAAGCAAAAATGAAGGKAACCCATCAAAAAAGGCCAAAGTTTGTCACTAATATAAAGTGCAGCTTCTCTTTAACAGTATAGTATGTGAGCCTGTGACTCTCAGCTACCACACCAGATTTCAGCTCAGAATCTATAAAACTGACTGAATTATAGCAATCTCTATGTTTCCTACATAGAGTTGGCTGCAGCAGCCATCTTGAATGGAGTCATCAGTTGTAGATGTCTGATTTGCCAGCTGGTAACAGACCGTTGGGAGTAAAAACATTATCACCCAAAGCTGCAGTTTGTTGTGCAGCCACAACCTAAACGATCCAGCCTGTTTGAGCTGGRGATTATCAGACGTAATCCAGACTTCTGTTCTCAGAAACTCAACGCAGCGGATGAGAAAAACAGATCCTCCTCCTCCTCCTCCCTCGGTGAACCCAGACTTCAGCGTTTTGGGAAGCAAATTGCAGCACTGAAAAGCTGAAATATGTTGAAGGTTTTCGTGTGGTGGAGCTGTGGCCTGCACCGCCCCTGTACACAAACAGATGTGGTCCCGCTCACCAGGCAATCAGCGTGTTTCAGCCCCGCGGCCCCTCACRCTGGAATGTGTTGATTAAATGCAGTTTACAGATCTGAGTTTTCCTGTTTCATTGTTTTGGTTTGGTTCCACCAGGAGGGAAGTGCACAGAGAGTGGGAGGTAAGGGAGGCTGCTGGTTGTTGGTTTTGACAGACATGTTGTTGTCTTTAAGCTGCTCCTTGCCTCCGCTCATCGTCACGGCCGCTGGCTGGATTTGGATGCTCCCCTGAGTTACAGCCAGGAATGTGCTGCTGAAAGGACCAAACATTGGGCCTATCAATCAAACGCTGGCACCTCGCAAATCAATAGCTGCAGATTTTCACGGTTTATCGCGCTGCTCTCAACACGATTTTACACAATCAGGAGAGGCTAAACGGTATGTGGCTGAGGAACGGATAATTACCTCCTCTTTAATCCCTTCTTTGTGCTCGGTCCCWGTTTCTCAGGGAGTACAGTAACCTGATGGGTCCAAATCCTCAGAGTCCTGATCAGGGCCCCAGAAACAACTGAGACAGGATCTGGGCATGTCCCCTGAGGCCTGGTGTGCTTGATTTATCTTGACTGCTTTGGCTGCGCCGTCACCCAGACAAGATGGTGATTCATGCCAGCACTGTGGGGAACTTTACAGTCCGTTTGGGCCGGAGAACCAGGAGCGTGGATTCGTCTGGTCCTAAAGTTGTGGTATAAACTGGATAAAGTCATCACTTGTTGAGTGAAAACAGGCGTGAAACTAGGAAACTGCTCGGTTTCACTTTTTAATTTCATGTTCATGAGGGATGGCAGGACGGAGCTGCTCTGTGGAGGTTTAAAAAAACTGAACTGAGCCAGAAATAATAACTTATAATTTAGCCTCAGAGACCAGGATGACTCTGGAACCCTGGTCCTCAGGGGGTTCAGGATCTAGACACTGAAGACCCAGAACTCTCTGGAGAGATTAGATCTCCTCTCTGGACTTAGAACACCTTTAGATCCAACAGGAGACACTGGAGTGGGTCTGTAGGGATTGGGACRTCTGTGTTTCACCAACGGACCTTAAACAAGAAGAAAGATATTGACAAATTTTARTAAACATAAGTTCCCCTCTTCAAACAGCGGGGCTGGAGGCTGTGCTCCAATTACAGGGGCATCACTCTCGTTAACCTCCAGGTAAGGTCTTTTCAGGGGAGCTGGAGAAGAGAGTCCGATCGATGGTTGAACCTTAGATTCTGAAGGAACAATGTAGGTTCTGTCCTGGCYGTGGAACACTGGACCAACTCTTCACCCTCACTAGGGTCCTCGAGGGGTCATGGGAGTTTGATAATCCAGTCTACATGTGTTTTGTGGACTTGGARAAGGCATTGGACSGTGTTCYTCGAGGTACACTGTGGGMGGGTTGGACTCCAGGGCTGCCTGTTRTCACTGATTTTGTTCACGACTTTTATGGACAGAATCTCTGGTGCAACCATGAGGCAGAGGGAGTCCTGTTCATTGGCCTCAGGATTCTAGCTCTGCTGTTTGCAGATGATGTGGTTCTGTTGGTGTCTAACACATTCTCACTCCCGACTTGTCAACATATTGACACTTTTCCAAAGTTCCCTCTGCATCTTATTTTGATGCTTCGGGTGACCCCCTCGCGTCAGTCTTTGCCGCCCGCGACTTTTCAGGTTGCGCCACCAGGGGTCTTTGTGTCGGGGGTCTGAGATTAACATGAGGGATCAGGATAAATGGTTAAGTTTAGGTACTGGGGTCAGGGATAGGATGTCTAYGGCGAATATTAGGTAATTTTAGACTTTGGAACACGTAGTTGAYGTGAATTTCCTACATTTTCTAAAAATGGTTAATTTTRGGTACTAGGGWCAGGGACAGGATGTCTAAAGTGAATAAAGGTAATTTTAGACTTTGGGACGGTAGTTTTTGTGCATTTTCTACACTTTCTGAAATTATGASAAYAGATTCCRCYCCATCTCGTCAAAAATTGACGCAAGRGGAGTACCYRACGCCTCAAAATYAGACGCAGAGGGAACTTTGGAAAAGCGTCAATATGTGACGACTTGGGAGTGAGAATGGGTTATGGTGTCAGCACAGCAGGATCTTCAGCTCTCACTGGAGCGGTTCACAGCTGGGATGAGGATCAGCACCTCCAAATCTGAGTCCATGGTCCTCAGTCAAAGGGTGGATTGCTCTCTCTCTCTCTCTCTCTCTGGGTTGGAGGTGAAGTTCTGCCTCAAGTGGAGGAGTTCAGGTATCTTAGGGTCTTTTTAACGAGTGAGGGAAGAATGGAGCGTGAGATTGATGGATCAATGCAGCTTCCGCAGTTTTGTGGACTCTGTGCCGGTCTGTTGTGGTGAAGAGGAGCTGAACTATAAGGAGAAGATCTGTTTACCGATCATTCTACGTTCCTACCCTCATCTATGGTCAGGAGCTTTGGGTAGTGTCTGAAAGAACAAGATCACAGATACAAGCAGCTGAAATAAGTTTCCTCTGCAGGGTGTCTGGGCTGTCCCTTAGAGATAGGGTTAGGGTTAACGTAACCATTCACAGTGCATTCAATTAATCCCAAAGGTAAATTAAATGTTGTTATCCTGGTTTCTTCAGAGTTGTTCTAGATGTTTTTGGCTGTGGCAGGGGGGATCTCCTGTAATGCTCTGATCTGTAGAAACCTCTGACTGAAGACACTCTGTAGAAAGAGAGTCTGATGTTATGAAGAATCCTTCTTGGTGTAATCATCTTTAAACTAAAGCTTCCTCTGAGGTCATGTGTGAAACTGGGTGGGTGATATGCATTCCCTTACAGAATGTTGAATCGTGAAGCTATCTGATGTCTGAGTGAAACCTGACCCTCTGGCTCTGTAATGTGCAGGGACCATGGTATGCTCTTACTCATAGAATGACTCTCATGCTCAACAAGCTGCACCTTGTCCAAATCACTTTTTCTCACAGCAGCGTTTGAACAATGGAACAACAGAGCGTGTAATCACAGCCAGAACACAAAGACAAACAGCAATTACCAGCTGAAAGCAAGCTTCCTCTCCCCCCTCCCCCTCCCTGAAGTGTGATCCTCACCAGGACAAACCCAGAGGAATCTGCTGCTCAGTTTTTAGTCGTCAGCCACCCATCRTGGTTGGTTCTGATGAAGGCTCAGATGAAGATGAAGAGATGGTGCTCTCCCAGGAGCTCCTGAGAGACTGGAGCCTGAGGAATACACAGACTTCAAGTAACATCTTGTCAGAAAGAGGGTGGACCGACAAGGCTTCAATAATACTTCTTGGCAGACTGAACAATTATTTGCAGCCTCCTGACAGGCAACGGCAATAAATTTCTCCTTATTATCGTGGCTTCGTGCACTTTTTTCTTGGTGGTTTGAGTGATTTGTTGCAGCTGGAGGGTTGAGTGTCGACACCACGGCTCTTTTTCAGCTCAGAAACAAATAACTATTGTTGATGGATATGATGTAAAACAATGGTGAGGCAGACAGTTTGCTAAAACCCGTTCAGAACTTTATTGAAATCATTAAACATCTTTATCTAATACACAGAGTGGTCCAGCACACGTGTAGCAGGTTGAACTTTCAGAATAAAAGTCAGATTTAGGAACGTAAGGGTGTAATCTCTGAGGGAACAGAGTCGGTATCAGTTCTTCAGGTCCTCCTTGGTGGGGCTAATCTAAGCAGGCAGTGCCAACCTGGATGTGTGCTGCTGAGAGCGGAGCGTGTTTTTGTGTATGGAGCGTCTGTTTCTCCTCACATCCCCCCTCCTCCCCGAACAGAGGGGTCTTTATGCTTGTTTGTAGTAGAAGACGGCAGAAAGTTGGCCCTCAGACAAGACCAGCAGTCTGCAGGCGCTTACTGGAAACGGAGCGAAAGGCCCGGGCAGACCCTGCCAGGTCCGGCCTCCATCGCTCACGCTGCCTTCATCCCGCTGGAACGACCTGACACCCAGAACTGTTTCTTCTTCTCCTGCAGGAGTCAAACAAAAGCTTTGAATTATCTGGAGGAAAAGTTAGCTGGAACAAACCTGCAGCTGAACCCAGCGCAGATCCAAACCACACGTCTAAAGTTTCATCTGTTCTCAGGGAGCTGGTTCCCCGTCAGATGGTTTGATCTAGATCTCAGCTCCTCGGGCTCTTCTGGGCCCCTGTCAGCAAATTTACAGCCGAGGCCGATCAGACAAGCTTCTAGCCACAGGTCACGATGAGCGGGACCCTGTAGTGTTTGCCCACCCAAACACAAAAAGTCTACTTCACACACCTTTGCAGCGCTGCAGAAAGCTCTCAGTCCTGGCTTGTTTGTAGCCTCAGGGCTTTAATAGGAAAAGGGATTATTGTGTATTAGCTGTGGAGGTCTGAAGACTCGTCTCTGAGCACAGATGACTCAGATAACGATGCACGGTTTGTCTAATTCCTCTCCTTGTCTCCGCAGACCTCCAGGACTGACAGGAAGTCCCGTCATCTCAGACATCTCCCTGAACCAGCTGTCCCCGCACGTCGCGGCCAGGACGGGCGAGTCGCCCTTCAGCCCCCCGCACCCCTACGTCAACCCCTACATGGAGCACTACCTGCGCTCCGTTCACAGCAGCCCCACCCTGTCCATGATCTCAGCTGCACGAGGACTGAGCCCGGCTGACGGTAAGGTTCAGAACCAACAGTCTGCAGGGTTACAGTAACCCAACATCACAGCTCGAAATGAACGTTGACGTCCACGAGGACTTCTAAACCGATCCAACATGTTTACCTCAGGTTGTTGTTTCTCACAGATCCTTCCTCCCATCAGCTGTTAGACTCTAAAATCATCACCGCTCGCAACAGTCATGATAAGCTCCACGTTTGTATTTGCACATCAAACAACTCTACCTCTCAATCCTTACATAAATATTAATGTAGGTATAATAACMAGTGGCAATTGTACATTGATTTTCCTGTACTGGAACACTGACTTAATGACTGGGTTTGACTCACATCCTCAGATCATGAGTCTGTCATGACTGTTTTTTCCTGTCATTTATATTTTTCTGCACAGTATCCTTCCTTATTTTCATTTCATCTAATTTCACCTTAATAGCCCGTTACAATAATTATTATTCTTAATTATTTTTAATTATTTTTTAATTATACTGTTTGTGCCCCGGCACAAAACAGAGCAATGTTGTATATGCTGTTAAGTGCCAGGAGGACTGCGACCAGTTATACATCGGGGAAACAAAGCARCCACTGTTCAAAAGAATGTCCCAACACAGACGAGCTACATCTAATGGCCAGAACTCTGCAGTTTTCACTCATTTACAGGCCAGCGGTCACTCTTTCAGAGATGAGGATGTTCTCATTCTTGATAGAGAGGAACGTTGGTTTGAGAGAGGAGTAAAAGAAGCCATTTTTGTGAAGAAAGACCGTCCATCATTAAACAGAGGTGGAGGCCTCCGTTTTCAGCTGTCCCCCTCCTACAGTGCTGCTATTGCCAGTATCACTCCACCCCCTGTTAACAATAGGTGTTAATTAGGTGTCAACGATAGCCATGTGATGTGAGTATCAGTCACATGGAGGCAGGGCTTCAAAGCCTGAATTTAGCCTGAAACTCTCAGACTGAAGAAGTCTCTTGGAGGAGAGACGAAACGTTTCATTAGAGAAGAACCCGTCCAGAAGACCTATACAATTCTTTTCTTTTTGATTATTATTCTTACTTTTATTTTGATCTGTTTATTTTTTATTGTTACTATGTTTAATTCTATTATTATTGCTACAATTGAGGTCACAGTATTATACTGTTTCTGTGGATTGATGTATATCTGCTGCTGCTACACCTGAATTTGCCCACATGGGACAATAAAGACCGTTTCTATTCTATTCTTCTATTCTATATATTTCCTTGTCCCACCTTTATATTTTCAGCTGAACTGAACCTGCTCCATCAGTTTTAAAATAAAAACGTAAACAACAGTTAATTTTCTCTCATGCTGACACGCTCAGATAAAATGGATGCAAAGTGAAGACGTTCCTGCAAATGACGAAGGAAACGTTTGAGTTTGAGCAGCAAACATGATGTGTGATTAGAGCTGATGTTTTGTGTTTCAGGTCTAAACCAACCGTTTCTGCTCGGCTGCAGCTCGCTGACAGCCGACTGTGGAGATGACTCTGCAGACAGAACACCTTTCATCAGGGAGACTTTCAGAACTCAGTCTCTTTGTTTGAACGGTTTTAAAAGACGAGAAATCCTCAGAAACCTGTTGTTAGTTCAGTTACCTTAATGTTCGCTACATCAGACCTTCAGTAAATGTGTTTACATCTCCACTTTTGTGCCTTAAATACAAAAACTACCTCAATGTTTTGGGGAAATCGAGGAAATGTTTTCAAATTTTGCAGTTTCCATCAACCTTTTTTAAAGTGATTTTTCAAAATGCACCTGGCTGGGACTGGGACCTCTTTGTAACAAATTTTAAAGAAATCTGCGCTGCAGCTTCTCACTGAGAATTAAACAGTCGCGCCGAAAAGAGCGTCTCACTTCAGTGAGAGCAGCCTCCTTCACTTCCTACAAACTTTAAATCCAGCTCAGCAGAAACTAAACTAAACTTATGAAATACCTGCAGACAATTTTAACAGAAAATTTGCTGCAAAGAAATATTTAAAGATATTTACTGCGACTTTCATGCCTTCATTTTCGAGTGAAATTGTTCTCAAACATCCAAACACAAACTGCTTCATCAGAAACACAAACTGCTTCATCAGAAACACAAACTGCTTCCTCAGAAACACAAACCTCCTGCGACTCGTTACTGCAGCCAGAGTCTAATAGTTTCTGATGGATCCAGGTTTTTCTTCTATCTGTGCAGAGAGGAGGCAGCTCTGGTTTTCCTCCCCAAACATCCCGACCCCCACCTCCCTGGTGTTGCATATTAAAACACCCCCCCGTCCCCCCTCCCCGTCAGACAGGAAATGTGTGGGGACCGCAGGAAGGAGTTAATCCATCTCTCCCTCTTATAGTTTGTGACATTTTAAACGCAGCTTTACAGCCTGCAGGTGTTAACACATTTTATGTCAACATTTCTGTTGCTCACGCCGTGTTCCCGCTTTATTAGAAGTGTTTGGATGTGAGCACCTGCACGCAGAATGACTTCATCCTGTCAGAAGACTGGACGCCCTGAGAGAGAGCGGCAGGAATGTGGCCTCCCCCCCCGCCAGGCCCCGCCCACCGGGTCTAACCCCCCCTGCTGCAGTTCTTTCTGTGCTGCCTGAGATTTTTACCACGAGCCTCAAAGACATCAGACATCTTTAATCAAACGCCTGACGCCTCGGGACACGCTCAGATCTCTGATCTGCTGCACAGGACACTCGTGTCCTCTGACGAGTCCTTCTAGTGTCTCTGTTTCTGTCGAGTCTTTTTCTGAAGTTGCAGGACTTTAGAAAATGTATTCAGTACTGAGTTAAAATGTGTTTTAGTAACTGAATGTTGTCCCTGACTCGTACTCTCAGCACGAACAGATCAGATCTTTATTTAAAACTTGAACACATTAGATGTCAGGTGATGCTTTAGTTTTCTTTAAAAGCTGTATTTGTACTTTAATTTACCAGGTGTTCACTTGTTTGAGTTTCAGGTCTTATACTCTGGTGTGATGTTGAAGTGTTACGTCAGAGAAGTGGATGGATTAATGATGTGATGATGTCTGTTATTGTCAGCAGGAATCCTCACAGATGGTTTTGTCTCTGTGTTTTGTTCTGCAGTGACCCACGAGCATTTAAAGGACCGAGCCCTGTTCAGTTTCCCGCCTCCACCTCCAGGAGCCAACCCCTCAGAGTATTACCACCTGATGGCCAGCGCCAGCCAGAGGAGCCCTTATGGAGACCTGCTGATGCAGAACGGTGCAGCGGCTGCTGCAGCTGCAGCTGCTGCTGCTCATCTCCCAGATTACATCAGTCCTGTGGACGGTGAGGACAGACTCTGACTCAGTTCAGGTTTAAATCCCATCCAGAACCGGGAGAGGTTACAGAACATTGTTGTCGTGTCAGAAACCTGGTTTTCCTGCTTTATGTGTTTATCAGCTTGTTTTAGAYGAGGCCGACAAAGAAACTTTAATTTCAGCCCAGAGAAGTCGTCCAAACACTCAGACTGAGGTTTACTGAGTGCTTCACAGAGACCGGCCTGTTCTGTCCTCTGCTCCTCCATCAAATGACAGCCGGGCTCTGGACCAGAACCCCTCAGAGTCCAGAACAGTTGGCTCTTTTGGATGCTTGATCCGGTCTTCCTTCAGTCAAACCTCCCCGGCCTGCCTGGGTGTGAGATTAGATTACACGTGGATTTATCTCTTAAATACGTCTGTCTGATGGTTAAACACAGCAGCAGTGAGTGAAGAGGTTCCCCTCCTCAGCCTCCTCCACCTCCAACCACCTCGCTGACCGCCGCCGGCCCACCGAGGCCACACTCGTTCAGGTGGGCTGTTTGCTGGTGTCGTATGGGCTGCTGTTTGTAAAGTTAGACAGTCAAAAACTACCACCAATATTTTTGTTTTATTTAACCTTTTATAAGAAAAAAAGAACAGATTTATTTTTCAAAGTCTGTTTTTCACCATATGATTCATACATTTATAAATGTCATAGTTTATAAACTAAATATTTAAC